ATGAAAATTTCTACATTTACTCCACATAACTTGGTATATTCTTGGTATATTCTAACCGGTTTCAGTTAGCATTGACACATTTGGGTTTATCTGCTTCTCACATTATTATTGCTCACAGATCTTACAAAATATTCCTCAAAGATCTTATGAAACACAATCAGTTTTATGGGTTTTCACAATGTCTATTAACATTGAAAGGTGCAAGCTACTGATCAAAGATAAACATGCACACAATAAACTAGCCTTACATAGCCACAGAAAATAAACTTGAGAAATCACAGAACAAAGTAAACAGCAATCCTTCAATAAGTGTTCTTAATTTCAAAGGAACTAACTGCAAGAATCAGTCAGAGGAACTGGGCTACCTGAGCTCAATAGCTTTTTGCTTAAAAAAAAAGATGAAATTAATAAAATACAGCTATGTAAAGACAATTGATACTAAATGTTGGCACTTTCCCCGTGGACAATGATGGGAAATATATTTGTGTTTAAAGAATGAGACTGCAACTACTCTTTCACTACATGGAAATCCTTTACCTCTAATGCTGTCACTTATCCTATGAATAAATAAGATATCCATCTTTTGGATAGAAGAGTCCAAAGGATTAAGAAAAGACTGTGTGCAAAATTACATGAATACAGAAGAATTCCTAATCTCCCTCAATAGCATTTTGGACCCAACAGTACTTTGAAGAATGAAACAGCAAAAATGAACATAATGAAACAAAGGACAGCAGACAGCAACTCGTGAAAAAAGGCATAATGGAAAGAGCACAAAAAGCTGCACTCAGACTCGTTCTGACACTCGAAGAACACAGGTGCAGACAATCTGTACCATTCACAATCCAAGATAATTTAAAAATAATGCTTCTTGAACGATCACCAAAAGCAGTTGAAATAAAAAATATTCAGTATTTTTCTTGGCATGATTTATCCACATAAAACCTATCTGAAAAAATTTTCAGACAATACACTTGTTACGCAAACACTTTCTGAGTAAGCAGGGAAAAGAGTAAAGGATCAAGCTCTTCGATATACATCATGCAAAATTTCAGTCCTTCCCTGAAGCACATTTGCAGTTCACTCAATGTAAATGCACTTTACAACCAACTTCTCTGTCCACTGCATGCAGCCTGGTTTAACATCTTGGATTAACATTTACATTAGCAAACTATTCATACCAAAGCCATAATGACTATTGTTGGAAGCTGCTTTAACATTGAAAACACGCCTCCCACAATGTTTCAGTTGACATTTCAAGTACTCTACAATTATGGTTTCAGTTAAATACACAGTTTGCATACTAGCAGGGTATGGAACAATGTACCAAAGTAGGGGATGTCAAGTCAGTCAAGTCATGCACTCAGGCCACTGAAAAGCAGTAACTGAAAGTGAGGAAAGTTGCCTAAACATAAAGCACTTCAAAACTTGTCCCTGCTGACATATCTATGAGACTACTTATATTGCCAAACATCTTCTTTTAAATTATGTACTAAATGGTACATCTGCATATATGCACATGGCCAGATCTAGGGAATCATCAGCACAAACAAGCCTTTAATCGATGACTGGACTGAAGAAAGTGAGCAAGAACTATTGTGAAAGAGAAGCCCTGCAATAAGGAAGCCCTCATTCTTGGAGCCTGCAGAAGGGATCATTCCTTCTGTCCATCCCATTAGCTGTCAGGAGAGGCATAGCACACACTCTTGAATAACTCATCAAGGTCTAAGGGATATTTTGGGCAAGGTGGGAAGGACAGGAGGAGTAGCAGCTTTCTATCACAGTGTTTTCATTCATGCTACTTTTCAGGCTCTGTGACACAAACAAACGTTTTAAGATAAAATTGACCCAAGAAGCAGCAGCAGCATGGCATATGTCTAAAACTGGTATAATTTATTGATTGTGACAGAAAACTAAGATTTGTCAGTTAATTTAGCTACAAATCTGGACCCAATTCATTCCAGAAACTTTTCTAATAGCTCCTGCAGATTAGGAAGTTACTGCAGACTATTCTCTGCTTTGCATTAGACTATTGACTGATAATCTTTGTTACTCACATTTAAAGATTAAAATATTCAAACCCTCAACACCATCTATCTAAACAACAATTCTATTATCCAGAGACATAGATATCAAAGAGTAGGATTAGCCTATTTCAAGAAAAAACCCCAAAACATTACGATAGTCTTGGCCAGGATAAAATTGCTTCATTAGAAATCCTGAATAGATCTGAGTGAAATTTCTCAAATTCTGAAAAAAAAACTTTATGCCTTCTCAGCAGTTGGAAACTCTGATAGAAGCAAAAAATTGAGTTTTCACTGCTATATTTTTTGCTTCATGATCTCATTTGGAGTTTTCCCTTTAATTTTGGGGTTATCCCTTCCCACTGCCTTGCTGCAGCACTCAATCTTTCTTACAGGTTATACCTTTCCACTGTTTAGGGAAGATAGAAAAGATGCAATTTCAGTTAGTGTTAAAATTACTGAGAACACTGTGAACATGAGTGAAAAAATCTTATTTCCCAGTTGGTTGCAACAGTGAATTCCACAAACAAACAAAGCTGTCTTTTTTCACACTGGAGTACAGCATAGAGGTTTTGTATATATTCCAAATTCAAGCATTATCTTACTAACTAGGAGGACCAGAAACAAAGTACTTAAAAATACAACCAGCTTTGGATTCTAAGGAAATTGTCAACACTGGTTTTCAATGTACCCAACAAATGTCACTGTGAATAAACTAGATCTGGTTTTATCCCTTTTACGTTATGAGTAGGCAGTGACGCTGACTTTTATTAGGTTTGAAGTAATACACACATGGTGACCATCAGCAATAGGAAGCACTATGATATACACATTACTGGATAGCTCTTACACAGTATTTCTAAAATATAATCATAGACTAAGATGCAGTAACAGGCTCTTACCTGGATATTATCAAATTTTAATCCAGGCATGGTAAGATTCTCTTTATCTATGAACACGGTGCTGTATTGTTGTGTGGCAACTGAAATGAGAACATTCCTTGTTTCTTCACTAGGAAGCCAAGCATCATTTCTTCTATCTAGTTCACTCATATTTAAGGCTGTGGCAAATGGGTCATCACTCCCAGCAAAAACAGCTTGGATTTGTGAGAATGGCTTGGGGGATTGAGTTATTTCTAGAGATGAGGGAGGACCACCTGCTTCAGGTCTCCCATTGCGCACAGGGAAAGTAGGGTTAGATGAAGCACAGGAACCATCTCCACCGTTAGCAAGAGAGGACATTTGTTCTGGAACTGAAGAGCTTGCATTGGGATTACTAACAGAAATAAAATTGGATGTGGTAAATGAATCAAAAAAATCAGAAGCTAAAGTATTAGTGTTAACAGTGTCACCAAAAAACTTGCTCAGACTAGGACTTGGTTGAACCACCTGTGGATTAGACTTCACTGGAGTCTCAATTATACTACCAAAACTGGGAGATTTTACCATCTGAGGTTCAAAACCATCAGGTAGGAACAACTGTGGCTGGGTACTAACATTGTTTGCTTGGCTAAAGATGGTGCACACAGGAATAGGCTCAGCCTCAGAAGAAGGTTTGCTAGTACTGGGGGACGATATTTGGTCCTCAGGTTTGCTTTCATCAATATTATTTGGTTTTTTATCAACAGAATTGTTGTTTTCCACCTTTGGTTCCTCCTTCACTGCTTCCTGAATTGATTCTTCCTTCAAAGATGCCTGATCATCTGTTCCAATCTCAGAAATGTCTTTGGGTGTTTCTTCATGTTCAGTTTCACTCTCATTACTTAAAAACTCCTCTTTATCCACTTCTGCTTCTGTTTTTTTATTATCTTTAGCTTCCATTTGTTGTACAATCTCCTGGAGACAACCAAGTTCACCTGTGTCATCTTCGCTATTGTTTGGTGAATCTGAAATAATTACACTCTCCATCATTTGCTCATTAAGTTTGTCTACAAAATTATTTGAATCTTCTGATACAGTTTCGTTCCCTTCAGACTCAAATTCATCTCCACCAAGATCAATGGTTTCCTCATGAAAGAGAATTTCCTCCTGAGTTTTCTGCTGGACTATGTCTCTGTTATCATCTTCATCTGAGGTGCTCTTTGCATCCTTAGCATTACTTTCATTATTCTCCATGGTAACTGAAGAGGGAAAAGTATCCACCAAAAAAAGAATTAGTTTTGTTTCTCTGGTGCTGGTCAGGTGTCACAGTGAAACTCCTAAGAATCATATAAACGCTAAAATTCTTGCTTTAAAAATATAGCAATTTCACTATATGACATCTTTCATTTAACATCTAACCACAGAATAAATTAATTTTGGAAATATATTCTCTCCATCCTTTCTGCACATCGCAACAATATTGGGATTGAAAAGCAAAGGCCTCCACTGAACACAGGCAAAACAATTTAATAGAATGCTTTGGTTGGAAGGAGATCTTGAAGATCATCTTGTTCCAACCTCCCTGCCGTGGGCAGGGACACCTTCAACTAGACCAGGTTGCTCAGAGCCCCATCCAGCCTGGCCTTGAACCCCTCCACGGATGGGGATCTACAACTTCCCTGGATAACCTGTTCCAGGGCCTCCATATTTGCTTCAAAGCTCGCAAGCCCAGCTCGGTCCCCGTTCCAGCGAAGGGCAGCGCAGGGCTAGACAAGAGGGACCAGCGCCCGGCGGAGCTGCAGCACCCCCGCGGCCCCGGGCTGGGCTGGGCTGGGCTGGGCTCGGCGCTGCCTCCGGTGCCACCGCGGGTGCCCCGGCCCGGCCGCCCCGCGGGGGCGGGGGCGCAGCCTCCACCCGGAGCAGCCCCAGCGACACCCGCCCACCCGGACGCCCTCCGGCAGTATGAGAGCTGCGCGGCCGCCCCCGTCCCATTCCATCCCATATGTCCCATTCCATCCCATCCCATTCCACGCCATCCTGTCACCTCGGCGCCGCCGCCACCTCCCCCGGCGCCGCTCCCCCCTCACGGCGCCTGCGCGAGGGCCGGGCCGCGCGCAGCTCCCGGAAGCGGCTGGCAACGGGCTGCGCCGAGGGCCAGAAAGCATCGGGCGCGGGCGGGGGTGCGCGGCGGGGCTGAGGGGCCGCAATGGAGGACGACGCGCCGGTGATTTACGGGCTGGAGTTCCAGGTGAGTGCGGACGGGAGGATGAGGGAGGACTGGCAGTGCCGGTCCTGCCTCCGGGAAGGCGGTGGCTGCGGGGTCGCGTGTGTGTGGTGGGGCAGGGGAGAGCACACGGGCGTCCCCTCGCTCCCCCGAGCAGCATCGCGGGCACCGCCGGCTCTCGGAGGCTGCGTCGGGTATTTTAAAGGTACCTGAGCAGGGGGCGGGAGCCAGTCCCCGCTCCAGAACCCGCTGCTTGCGGAGCCAGGGCAGGACTCGTTCCCTCAAGGGCGCTGGGGGGAATCCTGCCCTGTCACCGCGCCTGGTCCACCGCTGGAGAAGCCTTTGCCGGGCTCTGGGGTGGCACGAAAACACCTCAGTCTCGAAGAGATCCCTGTAGTTCATTCTGCCTTCTCAGAAAGAAAAAAATGACTAAAACCGCTTTTGTAAGGAGAGAGCATGAAACTGTTTCCAGTAAGTTGCGAATTTTAGTTGGTTACATCCTGCTGTAAGTTACATGATCTTTGTGCGATCTCTTGCTGTGAGTTCCATGTCTGTGCATTTGTCCCGTGGAACAAATCTGTCCATCATGGTAGTGGTTATGCCTATAAGGAAATGGAACTGTCTAGCTTAGGAATTTATTCGTCATCTCCTTAGAGGAACACAGGTGTTTAATAAGGTTCCTACAAGTTCTGGGAAAACAAACAGGAAGGTAACTGGATGGGTGAGCGGGACCCTAACTCATGATTCCCCCAATAAGGGCTTTACCCAGCTGTTACATGTTCTCTTTGGCAACAGCTGGCTTATCATCATTGTAATATAGAGTAATAGCTGCAGAAAAAACACAGCACCTCCTAACAGAACAATTCATTCTACAGTAGATGAATGAATGTAAATATCTACACAAGCACTTTTTTTTAGGCACCTTTACTAAAGTACTTGTGGAAAGTAGTACACAAAGGTTCTTTGTAAGAGGTGTCCTGGCTACTGAGCCATGTACTCTGTAGTCAGACTACACCAATAGATCTCCTTAGCAAATTGTGTATTTGTTTGGTTTCCTCTTGTACAGGAGCTGGTATGTAAAATTCACCTGTTCTAAATGTTGAATGTACTGAAGTCTGATGATATGCTATCATTTTGTGATTGTCTACAGATAGCTGTAACTCTTATTTCAAAATTAATAAAACTTATTCTGCAAAAGAGATTTCAGTATAGAATATATATCCTGTACTTAAAATTCGTAGCTCCTTTCTAGTAGGTCATATATAGTGAGTCTTCCAGCAATTTTGGAAGGCTAGTCTGTGTATTGTCTGGAACCTCCATGGACCTGTGCTTCCCCCACCCCAGCCCCCCACCAAACCATGTATCTCCTAGAGACCTCTTCTCTTCTGCCAGGTATGTAAACAGGGTTGTCTGGCAGGAGGATTAAAGAAAATGGATGAAGAAAGTGGCCATAATAAAAGGAAATTACTGCTAGTACAGATCACTTGGAGAGAAGGTGAGGAAAGAAGAGATGGTTTATGGGTAAGCTGGAAAAGGGGCATAGACGTGAGGGTTTTATTTCTGATCTCCATTAACTCCCAGTGTAGCTTTAAAACAAATCACATCTCTGTACTTTCTGAAAATGGAGAGATTTTAATGGAGAGACTTAAACCTAAAACTAGTCTGGTCTTTCTAACTTGTGTCTCCAGGTCTAATAAGAAAGTTAATTTCTTTTTTTAAGCCTCATTTCTTCTGTGTTGCTAGATAATAATGGTTAGCTGCATCATCACAATTACTGCTTCTTGTCTGAAAGCATCTCTTCAGACTAATTTTTCAACCAAGTTTAAAAAATTTTGTCTTTGTTTCTTATGGTTGGGTTGGGATTTGTTTGTGTTTTTTTAAAAAATGTCCGGTCTTTACTTCAGCTCTATGACAAGCTTATTCAAAGTTGACTTTGAAATTACAAAGTAATTAAAAGGAGGAAGGGATCTTCTTACTCTTGTTGCAAATAAAAATTATATTTCACTAAACGGTGACATGTAGAAACTACAAGAGGGATTGTGGACTGAGAAGCAACATGTCTCCAGCAGTCAAGAAGAATCTGTCTTTGGCCACTGACAAAGTGTAGTTTGCAGATATGCTTTTCATCTGATCTGATGTGGCTGGGTTTATAAGAACTTAAAGCTGATTCCTACTAGGGTGCTATCCACCAATTAACTTAAAATTATTTCTGTTCATTTCCATGTGCAGAATGTGTTCTGATGTATTGGCATAAGTAAGGTAACTTAGAGTAATGAATAAATACATTTTTCTCCTTTTTTTTTTAATCCAGTTTTCATCAAAAAAAGATTTAGTGGAACAGGAGAGTCTTACTTAGGGCCATGTCACTCACAGAAAGTTCTAACACTCGAGAATGAAAAGTAAAGATATTCTGAGCAGTTATAGAACTGTTTATCACTACTTAGCAAGTGTAAGTATTGTGGAAAAAGTTTTACCAAGTAACAGTGAGAAACAATTTTGGTTTGCTTTTGTCTGGGGTGGAGATAAGGGGGAAGCTAAACATCTAACAGCAAAACAAGAATAAAACTAGTGATAGTTTTCTGCATGATTAGTTAAATTTTTGAGCTGGTTAGTTCCTCCTGTTTTACCTGACATCTGGAACTTCTGTTTGTGCTGTTTTGAATGTTCATATAACCCCAAAAACATAGGTTTTAGGAGTGTTTTTTTCGTCTCTTGAATGTGTCTGTGAGCTGTATGAACATTGTACAGACAATACAAATTATATGTGAACTTTAGGGTGCATCGTTCTTTTTGTGACTTTTTTAAAGACAATATCCCACCATATTTGCTCCGATCATCTGACTGTAGTGAAAATGAGAAAATTACAGATGGATGGTGAATGAAAATGTGAGTTGCTACTTGAATTGAGGACTGAGTGATGTGACTGTGGCTCATGACGATGGATACAGACCAACAAGAGTAGCTGCAGAACATTTCACAGAATCACAGAATATGCTGATTTGGATAACCCACAAGGATCATCAATTCCAGTGCTTAGCCCAGCACACAGCCATCCCCAAGAGTCACACCATGTGCCTGAGTGTGTCATCCAAACACTTCTTGAATTCTGTCAGGCTTCTTCTGTCTTCCCTGGGGAGGCTGCTCCAGCACCCAACCACCCTCTGGGTGAAGAATCTTTTTATCCAACTAAACATCCCTGACACAACTTCAGGCCATTCCCTTGGGTCCTGTCACTGGTCACCACAGAGAAGAGATCAGTGCCTACCCCTCCTCTTCCCCTCATGAGGAAATAGTAGACTGCAATGAGGTTTCCCTTCAGTCTCCTCCATGCTGAACAGACCAAATGACCTCAGCAGCTCCTCATGTGGCTTCCCCTCAAGGCTCTAGACCATCTTCATTGACCTCCTTTGGACACTTTCTAATACCTTAATATCTTTCTTATATTGAGATGCCCAAAACTGCACACGATATTAAAGGTGAGGCTGCCCCAGTGCAGAGCAGGTCAGGACGATCCCTCGACCCGCTGGTGATGCTTTGCTGATGCCCCCCAGGACACGGTTGTCCCTCCTGGCTGCCGGGGCACTGCTGACTCATATTCAACTTGTCGTCAACCAGGACCCCCAGGTCCCTTTCTATGGCACTGCTTCCCAGTATCTCATTCCCCAGTCTGTATCTACATCCAGGATTGCCCCATCCCAGCTGCAGAATCCAGCATTTTCCCTTGTTGAACTTCATGTGGTTGGTGATTGCCCAGTCCTCTAATTTGTCTCTCTGCAGGGCCTCCCTGCCCTTGAGGGAGTCAACAGCTCCTCCCAGTTCTGGGTCATCTGCAAGCTTGCTTAGTATCTCTTCCAGTCCTGTGTCCAAGTAATTTATGAAGATGTTGAAGAATACTGAAAGGTTGTTCTTCTAAAATGAACCTTGGTAGTATTCATCAATATTCTCAGTTATAAAAATGTGATGAATGAGGTCCCAGGGGTATCGCTAAGTGCTATGTTTTGTCACTGAAATTATGTGCTTCTTGTCCAGTGTAAAGTTGATGTAGGTTTTACTGTCTAACCTGGAGTATCTGGTATGTCTACCCTGTGTTGAATTGGCTTTCATTTTCAGGGAGTCACGATTTTCTCCATGTTATTATTGAGGGTTTAAACAGCGATGTTTTGAGCAGGTGTGTAAGCATACTGAATGTCTCAAAATACTGTATTTGCCTTAGTTTAAACTTGACTGAATGATGCTTATAGGCCTGAAATGAGCAATGTATAGAGGTGCTTTTGGGGATAGGTATTTGGCTCAAGACTACATCTTTCTTGTTGGGGACCCCTGGTGGTCTAGTGGTTAGGATGCAGCACTCTCACCACTGTGGCCCAGGTTCGATTCCCAGTCAGGGAAACTCCACTGGGCAGATGGAGCTCATCAGCCCTGTAAGGCCATCCATCTAAGAGAAGATCACTCTAAACAAACCTACGTCCTGAGGACCTCACTGCCACTGTCCAAGCTTGCTCAGCCCCAGCAGATGAACCTTAAGATTAAAGGGTGGGCTCAGCTCAGTGCACACTGTGTCTCACCTAAAAAATCCACTGTGCAGGCTCAAAGGGTAGAGACCTTTCCAAATCTTCATTCACAAAGACTGACCATACATACACATCTTTCTTGTTTAAAAGCATGGGTGAGGGAAGAGGAACATTGCTTGTGCCAGAGTGTGATAATTATGGAGCATGTGTTTGGCACATGTAATGGATTTTGGGGATACCACAACACTGAGCTGAATTTCAGCATACCAGACCACTCCTATTGTGTATTAAATGTCAAAAGCACATGGACTTGCAAGGCAGAAGGATAATGAGCAGGAGGCAAGGACAGCAGAGCACAGGGCTGTACTGCACAAAGACAGCTCCAGCAGCACTCTGAGATGGGCTCTGGCTGAAGCAGGCTTGGAAAAAGTGCAGTAATGCTTTGTCAGAGTTTGTGTAATGCATTGTGGTCTTGTCCTGCTCTTTGAATAAGCAACACTTGCCCTGTATTGT